ACTATTTCCCAATGCCTGGCTGCGAGGGCAACTTGGCCCATGCGCTGACAGAGAGGACGAAAAAACAAACTTAGTCTAATGGTTAAGGTCTCATCTGTTCTAATGGGTCTTGGGAAGAAATGTAAATGGTGTTTTGAAACTGGTAAGTATGAACTAATTTTCATTAGCATTAAAATATTAGTATTTGAACATTCATTTTATTCAATACGATAAACTAGCCAATATTTAATTAAATAAAAGGACATTTTTTTTGTGTGCCCAAGTGCATTTAACAAAATGTAAAAAGACTTCTTACCTCCCAAAGATCAGGATGATGTATAATTTTAAATATTTGAAAATCAGGTAGATTCTTTTGTAGGTAGTCTGCAAGAAGTTCTGCTTTAGCATAGTATGGACAATCAGCTTTACCTAAGAGAGTTCACATAGAAATTGTCAAGTAGTTAGAAGCATATGTCTCCAAATTAGGGAGTAAATCATAGTTATGATATTTTTATATATAACATAAACTATGGTACAAATTCCTATGACATAATTTTTAGATTTTTATTATGTTAATAAAAATAAATTTCACGGGAGGTCACATTTTAAGTAGCCAAAAATCTATTGAATATTTACTTTCTTCCAGTACTGTGCCATGTCTCACTTCCTTTAAGAGGCTGATAAAGATTACTAATTAAGCTGGAAGTGCTAACAATGAGCTACTCACTGGAAGCCACTCAAAGGAAAGGTGTGAAATGAGGAACATGGGAGTCACTTTTGAATTGGATATGTAGCCCAGAGTTGTGACAGAGGCAGAAGCTGAGGGAGAGAGAAGAGTCTGGGGTAATTTCTGTTTTCTAGGTTGGGTAGATAATCCTGACTTCATAAGAGGGAAATGTGAGACAAGTTTACTCGGGGGTGTCTGCCGTATACATTTGTGGAAAGGACCAGCAGGTAGTCAGGACGTACATCTGAAGTGCAGATGCTGTGGGAAACACATTTGGCGGGTAAGGGGTTGAACACACAGGAAGCTGAATCTGCCACCAGGAACAGGACTGAGTATCATATAGGGTAGGAGGGACACAGGCTTCACTGGAACATATTTCCTTAGTTGTTGCTCATAATCACTGGTTCCTCAACCCTCAGGGGAACTCCTGTCATAAACCCTTCTCCAACTCCTACTATCGCCTCTTTGTTTAGTTCAAATCTATCATGCATCACATTAAGTCACTCTATGGTTCACATCCTAAATGCTTCTTACTACTGTCGTTCTGGAAGGTAAGTCTTGTAGAAGCCCTCAGCCTGGATGCACTCAATTACATGCCTTCTCTGTGTGTGGGTCCTTTCTGCTTAGTACCACCGGGAAAACAGCAGAGCGCAGCATGCGAGAGCATTACAAATTCAGTCTCCAGACTCAGGTGTTCCTCAATTCTAGAAAGCCCTCTGTTTCTCTTACTAGAACTCTCCAGTGTTCTCTACAACGACGATTCCAAATTTGGTCCTCTTCTTCCAAATCTCTTCTCTCTTTTAATATTTCCCTGTACTGCCAGAAGAAAATAGATCACCTTGTTTCCTACTTAACAAAAATTGAAACAAATCAAACAGACATTAGTTGGGAAATTCCTGAACCTCCTGCCATCACACTACAAGTCTGTTTGCATTTGGATGCATCCTTTTCTTTCTTCTTTTCCTGCTGTCTTGGTCCAATCCTGCCAATTGATTTTGAATCCCACCCTCTTCTGCCTTTTCAGGAACCTTGCTTAACTGATCATCCTCTCTTTTTAGAATCTTATTTCTGTTTCTGAAACTAAAAAGTATTCTCTAAATAATGAAAAAAAAAAAGAATAAGATAAGACTACAAGAGCAAGAAGCAATTTAAATATGTTAAGGGACCATTTTCATCTTCAGAATTAAGGATTATTTTAATCTTACATCACTGCCTTTTCTCTTTTACTTTCCTTTTTAGTTTTATTTTAGGATTCCCTGTTTTTAATGTTCATACAGAGATTTCTTTAACTGAAATACTGAACAGTTTCTCTGGTGTGAAAAACTATAATAGTACACAGGATCTTAATGAGATAATTAATAATGTGAAATAGGAAGTAAAGGGCTAAAGGTGTAGGGAAAGTGGGAAGGGTGGGGGAAAGGTAATAAGGGAGAGGAAAAAATATGAGAAACTGAAAAAATGGAAATAAAGTGTTTATAGACAGGGAGAGGAGGAGGGTGAAGGGAGGTGAAGGGAGGGCAGGGACAAGGGGAAAAAAAGTGAATCAAGACCTATTATGTAAAGGTACAGGATCCCAATAATGAATGTAACTGTATTGTATGCCTAGATTGTACCAATAAACTCAATAAAAAGAAAAAAAAAAGAATCTTACTTCTGTTTCTAATGCCCCTTTTCCAACCCACTTAAATATATTCAAGTTACGTATTAAGCTTCTTGTATCCAAAAAACCAATTTCCCATGTTTTCTATATGTTCTTTTCTATTCAAACTTCTTTTAAAAAATCCTCTATATTTGCCTTCCTCAATTCTCTACTTCCTTTTATTTCTCACCCCATTGTAATCTACCTTACCCCACAATTTTTAAAGAGGTTATAAAAACTTCCATGCCACTGAATTCACTGGATGTGTGTGTGTGTGTATGTGTGTGTGTGTGTGTGTGTGTGTGTGTGTGTATAGATAGACAGATATGTATAGAGTTATACAGATATAGATATAGATTTTGTACTGGGGATCGGTAGTTAGACTGCAAGGCAGGTGGTGGACCCACTGAGCTAAATCCCTGGTCCTCAATGGATATATTTTGATGCCTCTCTTTTTGACTCATGGCATCATTTGTACTGCTGTGTTCTTCTACCCTTATGCAACACTCACTATGGTGGGGCATTCTGCAGGTCTTCCTTCTACTTTCCTGGCTACGACTCTCTATATGCTGCAGATACCTATTGCCTTTTCAACCCATTAAAGGTGTTATTCTGCATGCCACCTTCTCTTCATACCCTTGTATTGTTGGTAGCAATCTGTATCCTTAGACCTATCTCCCCATATCTGGATACCTACACGTCTTATATTCTTCTATCTCTTTCTAAGTGTCTCATAGGCACTCAGCATGTCTATGATGGATTTTTGCCATCATATTTGCAAAATATGCTCTTTGAACTATGTTCTTTATATCCATCTCCTAAATCACTTAAGAATATTAAGGGTAACCATAGTACTAAGCTTATTCTTCAGCTTAAGTTTTTTCAATGACCTTTAACCTACCCAGCTATCCAAACTACTGCTTGGAAATAATTTTTAGCTTCTTCTTTCTTACTTGTCCTCCTCCACTCTGTCAAATATCCAGTTCTATGAATTCTATCTTATGAATAGCTCTAATCCACGAATTTCTCTCCACTTCCATTGTGCATCATGTTTTAATTTTATTATATTCTCCTCTTCTAAAAGTCTTCTACGTACTTTGGATAAAGTCTAAACTACCTAACATGACTCAAAAAGTACATTATTTAAATTTAGCATCACCTTATAACATTCTTCCTTGTACTCTTTGCTCCAGTCCTACTAAGCTTATTCAATATTATACTTATTACACACTTTCAATTATTACCAAACTAGCTATTCTCACTTGAATCCTACCCCAACACAAATGTTTAAATTTCTCTGCTTCTCCACACCTCTTGGCTGCTAGGTAACTTTCAACTTTGAGGTATCTCCTCAAGAATCTCTGCCTCTTCGGAAGTCCTTCTCAGCGTAAATTGTTCTGCTACTGCCATACACATAACATTTTCTCTAAGTTTCCCACTGTCTTTCTAGCATACAGTTAGTCAGTGCTCACAAATATTTCAAGTAGGCGAATAGTAAATGTAAATTGTGCTCAATCATCAAAAAGGTCAAATAGGACAAGGGCTGCACAGCCTTTGTTAAACTCATTGCTGACTTTCATGAGGGTAGTTTCCCCAAGGGAGAAGATGTACAAACCAGATCGAGTGCAAAGGAGGGGAGATGGAAGAGCAATGGTTTGCTTCTTGCCAAATCCTTTCCCTCCATTTGCTGCCAAAACAGGCATCCCAAAATCTAAATCTATCAGGAGCACACTCTTCTCTAAATTTTTCAGTCACTCCGTTGCTTTCATGTTACAAACACCTCTGGCAGGTGTATGTGAGCTCAAGGACCTGGCTCTTGCTTGTGTAGATTTAGCCTCAGGTCTTGTTATTCTCCCCATATCCAGATTCACCATTAGATTACGAGGTTCCTAGCTTCTGCCCTTGTCTAGAATGGCCTCCCAACCTCAAACCTTCACAATTTAGCTCCTGAACAGTTCTCCATGTGAGTCCCTTGTGCCCTCCTTTCTCCTACTTCCACTTTCAGAGTAAGGGTGTTGTTTCCAGTGACTCGTGCATCTTTTCCTCATAGCATTAATTGCACCATATCAAAAGCACTTCTTTTCGCGCTTTACCCCAGGAGAAGGGAAACTCTCTGAGGGCAGGGATCCATTTTCCCCTCACTGTATCTGCATTGTTCAGTAGTGCCTGGCACGCCATCACCGTCTAGTAAATACCTTGGACTATATCAGAAAGCTCGTGGTGGTCGTTCTACAGGCTGGAGTTACATTTTGAAAGATCTGCAGGAGAACACAGGCAACACCCACCGGCAATCACAAATTTGGCCATGATCAAAGCGAGAATCCGAGGCAGGGGCTACAGCGTCGCGGTTTCCTAGCAACTACACTGCGGAGAACGGTGCAGGCGCACTATGGAGCTGGCGCACTGAATTCTGACGCTTAGCGGGAAAGGTTGGGGACTCCAAAGTTAGGGTTTGAGTAGGTTACATTGCAGTGCACAATCACACATCGCTTTTATAAGCTCTGAGGTCTCCCTTGACCTAGTCTGTATTTCAGTATCCCAAAAGATTAGCCAGTCTTTTAGACATTTTTCTCTCTAAATACGTCTTTCCACAACCACGCGAACGTATAAATTTTGGCCTATAAAGGAATCCATAAACTCTCGCGATGTTTGTAATTCTCGGGGGAGGTGTCATGGTTGCGCCCGTCGGTGGCCAGGAGATTCGGTTTAAGGTGAGTGGAGCCCGAGCATAGGTGGAACAACTGGCAACATCTGCTAGACTTTTTGCCCTCCAGAGAACTGTGTGAGAAGTGGTCCTGACGTTAAGGTGGTTAGGCTGTAATGTGTGGCCCCGCTGCGGAAGGACGTTGACAGTGGTTTGCGGGTTAAGACTGGTTCGTTAACCTTTCAAGCGTGGTTCCAATTGCTCTAGTTTTGTTTCCTCTCCTAAGTCCAACCTGTCCAAATCCGTAGTTTTAATCTTCACCTACTACCGACTCATTTTAGTTTTATACGTACTATACTCATGGTTGTTCGGAACCCATGAGTTTAATTTTTTATAAAGCATAGAAATGATAAATTTTATTTATAAATACATTACATAAGTATTTGTAACATAAAAAATTAAGTTTCTAAAGACCTAGGACAAAGTTTCTTACAGCACCGATTACAAATTGATATTTTACAAGTGTCACTTTAAAAAAATGTATCCGGGTGTGGGGAAGGTGGGACGGGTAGGGGAAGGGTAAAAAGGGAAAAGAAAAAAATGTGAGATAATGGAAAGATGGAAATAAAGTGGTTGCAGATGGGGAGGGGAGAAGAGGGTGAAGGGAGGGCAGGGACAAGGGGAAAAAATGAGAACCAAAACTTGTCATGTAGAGGTACAAGATCCCAACAGTGAATGTAACTGTACTGTATCCCTAAAATGTACCAATAAACTCAATTAAAGCTGAAAAAAAAATGTATCCGGTCCTCGGGACCTGTCTGTAATAGCTGCGGGTTAATAGTCCAGGCTCGCTCTTTGCAAAAAATAATGTTGAAAAGAATCCGTTAATATTATATCCTTTGGCCTTCATTGAAAAATATCTCAAAGGCAGTGCGAATAAATATCTCCTACTGAGAGGAAGCTTTATGGAACATTTATCCCTCAGAGATTTTTTGTTTTTCATTTTTAGCTCCAACAGTACTTCGAAAGTGGTTAACTTGTGTAGTTTAAAATAGTGTGCAGTTTGTGGTAAAAGTGGAAGCCCATACTGGTGAAATAGTTTTTCTGTTGTAATGTAAATATTTAGTGATTTCATTCCCATTTAGCCTCTGCATTTCATTAAAGTTTTGCTTTACCCGTTTTCGTGATTTATTTGTTTTTATTTGAAAATACAAAGTAATAATAAAGAAAAGTGTATTAAAAATCATTCCATATTCCCACAATGAATTGATTTTGTATATTACCTTCCAGATGCAGTATAGAAGCAAGGGCCATAAAAATGACTATATCCTTTGCCCCATAAATTCTGCTCATGTGTTTTTAAAGAATAATATCAAAAAAAGGTTGGGCCTGGGATTTAGCTCAGTGGTTCTGCCGCCTGCCACGCAAGTGCAAGGACCCGAGTTCGATCCCTGGTACCAAAAAAAAAAGGTAAATGCATTAGGATGTTTATGTCTGTATTATTAATAATAGCAAAAATTCGAAAAAGTCTGCGTGTCAAGGAAGGAAGTTGCCTTAAAAAATTGAGGCATATTGCTATGAAAATAACTATTTGCAAGTCTGTGTAGAAACATGGACATATGAGAAGTAAGATAAGCACAATACAAATAGTATGCACACTATGATTGTGACTGTAAATTCTATGCTTTACCTTTTGTTAATTTTTATCACCTTGTTCCCTACAGGAAAATGACAGCATGTGTTTTCTTTCACTAATGGAAATGACTTTTGTTTCATATTGAAAACATAAAGCCATTTGGAAGTGTTTCAGTGGATAACAAAATGAGAAACAAAGCAGGTTCCATTTTATGGAACCTCAGACAGTTCAGTATTTTAGTTCCAACTATCAGAACTTTGAGTATGTATCATTTGGGATTTTGCAGATCAAAAATTGCTCATTCAAACTGGACCTTAAGAAACCTTCCATTAAATGACTTTGACAATAGAATTCAACCATCTATTCGATACCTCTTTCAGGATGCATTGAGTGGCTTTCAGTCAGAAAGCTTAAATACTGTAATAGTATTTAGAGTTAACAGACTATGCCCGAGAAGACTATCCTTTGATTCAAAACATTGTTTTGTTTCTATTGGTACTTCTGATAATGGATTGAAAAAAGTAAACTTTCATCATGAGGTCTCCTGTGAAGATGTGCTCTCCAAGGAAATGAAATCAACCCCTATCAGCTATATGAAACTATCTGAAGAATCTAACTCTTTGAGTGATGTTTTAGATACATTTTCAAAAGGACCTACATTTCCCAGTAGTAAATATTTCTTAGCAATGTGGACAGTTGCCAAAAGGATGTCTGATGATAAGAAGTGCTATGAAAAACGACTGATGTTTAATCACCCTGCATTTAACCAGCTGTGTGAACAAATGATGAAAGAAGCCAAGATCCTGCACTATAACCACCTACTATTAAGTCTTTATGCTATAGTAAAGCTTGGAATCTTTCAGAATACACTTGTGGTACAGACTTTGCTGAGGGTTATTCAGGTAAGCTCAGAAAGAGACAAATGTGTTTTTATTTGGTTTAGCACATATTAAAAGAATGAGGGGAATCCGGTATGTAGCCTTCTTAAGAGGGACTATCAGTGGAATATATATATATCTATGATGATTTGGAGGCTTGAAGTAGTTTATTTGCTATGGAAGTTTAGGAAAGTCTGCCACCATTTACCTTCTCCAGAGTTGAGCAGTAATAAAGAGGCTGAGATGGAGAGAGATACAAGATACAAGGCACACAAAGAAAGTTGAGGTGGTTGAAGGAAGGATAGAAGTAAAAAGAAGGGGAACTAATATTTATTATCTATGCCTTTTACTATATAATCTTATTTAATCCTCTCAACAACTTACAAGGTTGCAGTTTTGCAGAAGAAGTAGACTTAATGATATTAAACAACTTGGTTAAGGTCATAGAGCTAATTGATTCATTTAGCCTTGCAGTAAATGAATATCCTATTACTTTTCTTGTTGCTAAGACAAAATTCCTATCACCCAAAATTAAAGTAGGAAAAGTTTATTATAGCTAACAGTTTGTAGAGTTTTCAGTTCATAATCGGCTAGCTCTAAGGCAGGGTAGCTTGGCAGAGGAGAAATAGTTCATGGCCGGCAGACAGCAGAGGGAAGCAAGGTAGCAGGCAATAAATTAGCAAAGCAACAAACTAGAAGCAAAGTAGCAGCCCTCTTTCTGTCCCTTATGTTCCATCCAGGCTACACACCCTTAGGGCAGGTAGCACTCATACTCAGGGTTGAGCCTTCCCATTATCCACACCCAGAACAATGCCAAACCAATCAGTGGACTAATTTAGTAACCACACACTCTTAATTTCCATTATCTTACACTTAATCCCAGCACCACTCACTTCATCTGAGCATCACATACTCTAGAACCAGCCACATCTGGAAAGCCCCACCTATGATCATATGAGGCTTTGGGGGGGACCTCTAGACACAAACCATAACAATATATTTAGTATCAACTATTTACAAGTTGCTTTGTCTGTCAGTAGAAATATAAAGATATAGAAGACATGGTTCCTTATAATCATGAAGCTTTTACAAAAATAGCAACAAATGTTCCTTTAATAAATCATGCCATGTTATGCGCTCTAGGCTGAATACTAGAGAATATAATTGTGAAGAAAATACTGATATTGTAGATGTATTTTAGTGTAATTAAAAAAAAAAACATGGAGTTTTATGAGAGTGTGTAGCAGGCTTCCAACATAGTGTGACTTCACAATGGGAGCTGAGATGGGGAATACACAAGGTCAGTGATTAGAGCAGAGGTATATCCAGAGTAATTCTCAGTATAGCCCTTTAAAATAGATACTGTTACTCTCATCTTGTTGTTTAAGCAACTGAAACTTAGATAGTTCAGTTACTTCCCTGAGGTCATATACCTGTTAATATTCCTATATATAATTACAGATTGAGTATTCTTCCCTCCCCCCACCCTGGTACTCAGGATTGAACTCAGGACCTTGTGCTTTCAGGTAGCCACCACTGAGCTAAATCCACAGCCCTGGATTGAGTATGCTTTATCTGAAGTACTTTGGACCAGAAGTGTACAGATTTTGCAGTTTTTGGATTTCACATTTTGGATACTTGCATGTAGACTTTACCTGTTGAATATTTCTAATCCAAAATTGCTCCAGAATCCAAAACTTCTTTGTACCAATGCTTTTTTGTTTTGTTTTGATTTTTTTTTGAGGCAGTGTCTCCCTGTGTAGTTCAGCCTGGCCTTAAACTCACCATTATAGCCCAGGCTGGTGTTGAACTCATAGTGATCTTTCTGCCTCAACTTCTCAAGTACTGTAATTACAGGTGTGTGTCACTGTTCCCAGTGTAGTTTTCAGAGGTTTTTGATTAAGAAAGCTCAACCTCTCCTTGATAAATATTTGCTGATTAAATGAATACCCAGTCCATGGTAGAATTGGGATTCAAACCCGGCAGGAAATTATGTGCAAGCTAACTCCAGCAGGAGACTAGCAGTTTGTGAAAAGATTAATAATGAAAGGGACAGTTCAAGATTATGTGCCTAACATCCCAAAGAAAAAGTTTTAGTTCAGGGAGCTGAGAGTACCTTGGTATGGCTAGAGTCCGAACGGTGTGGTGTGTGTTTGAATTGGTGGCAAGTAAGCTCCATCCCTGGTGGTCAAGAGGAGGAGGAAGCTGCAAAGGATTACTGGTAGGGCATAAGCTTAGAAAATTCAAATCCATATCATAAAAACCTTGTATGCCTGATTATGGAATTTGCATTTATCTTGAAGGTTGTGGGAGGCATCGTGGAAGCATGAAGGATTTTAAGCAAAAGGTTCGATAACATGCTCAGATTTGTAACTTAGGTAAATATATAAATGAAGTTGCATAGGATGAAGGATGAAATTGAACAGAAGAAGAAGAAAAAAAAGAAAGAAGTTGAACAGAAGAGCCAAGTTTAGTTTCACACAAGTGTCTTCATGTCTTACTTGATGTCATTGAAATGGCACCAGATATGAGAAAGGAAGGATTCACTCATTCGTTAATCATTTCCTTTTTAAGAGTAGACACCTCAGACTTCTAAACTTGATGATAATTAATGTTTTTAAAAGATAACTTCCTGTGGATAATGTAACATATCCTCTGTAGGGTACAGTATATAGTGTTTTTAATTTTAACTTTCTGTGTTACTGTGATTCTGTAAGTGCTCAATCGAGAACTAATTTTTATTTTGAATATATTTAAGCCACAGAATATTTGTGCTTATTTGGTAAGCTATATATTAGTTCCATATATAATTATTTAAAAATGAATACAATAAGTTACCTTACCTTGTGTTTCTACTGTACTAGATTTTGTATAAATATTACTACATCAATGTAGTGTCTGCACTGGTGATGCTGGAGCAGTGGGCATCTTACTGACTTCTTGGAACGTTATAAAAACAGTTTAGCTGGAGATAAAGGGTGGGGTGCCATTGATAAATTGCCCTGAAAACACATAGCCCGGTAATCTTTCCTTTCACAGAAGATGTTGATGGGAATGCCATAGATTGTTAGGAAAACCTTTTCATGGGAATGCATCCTTTCTTTTTCCTTTCAGCCATATCCATTTTTAATCATTATCTGATTCTTACTCGAGACTTTCTAATCGGTTAATCATGTAATTTTAGCAACAAGCATACTTATTTCAGCCTGTTTCCTTGGGTGTGCCCGTAGTTACTCTTATGAGATGTACAGACTAGTTGTGATTCAGTTAGAAAGTGCTGTGGTAGATAAGGTATATTGTTACTGTTCACTTTCCAAATTGTGCCCACTGCCATCTGGGATCTAAACTAATACCTTAACTAAAGGAACATTAAGGAGGGATCTCTGAGGCCCTGTTCTCCGCAGACTCAGATTGTGGTGGTAAAATTTGGCAGGGAGGTGAGCCTGAGCAGATTCTCAACTGAAATTACAACTTGATACCCAGGAAAAGATACAGTGAAATTGTAAGGGCACAGCATGAAAGGGACTTTGATAATGATAAATGTAAAAAAGTGTTGATGCATATGATATATAGCCATGGAAAATTCACCTAAATGTGACATTTTCTATTCCAGAGAAGTTATTTGTCACGGACTGAGTATATGAATTCCTGGCTTGATACTTAGTCCTTTACTGAAAGCATCAGTTCAGTGGTTTTGCTTGGGTGAGATAGTCTACCTTGCTTATCACCTATAGTATTTTTGCAATTATGTTTCAATAGGAACGTATCACGGAGTGTGATGAGAGATGCCTCTCAATTTTGTCAACTCTTTTAGAGGCAATGGACCCATGCAAGAATGTACATGCTCTTCGAACAGGATTGTGGTGAGAACTCTTTCTTAATACGGGTTTCTCTGCTCTTCTTATACCAGAAACTAAAAATTGAGATGAAAATTGAACTCCTTTTCTGGAGGACAGAAGGAAGGAAGAAGGCATTGTTGTAGTTAAAGCTTTTAATACTTTATTACATTAAAAAAATACTTTATTACATTTAATATTGTACCTTTGGATGAAATACAACTGAAAATAATTTTTTTAGGGTTTATCATATGAAAAAGTGGGCAACTGTGTAGAGATTACATGAAACTGGCTCAGCTTGAAAGGAAATTTATAAAATTGATACAACTGATCTAATGTCATAGATTATTGAGAATGATACTTAATTTCCTTTTTTTGTTGCCTGCAAATAGGATATCTTGCTATAATGTCCTGATATGGTTTGTTGATTAATAAAGACAGCACAATAGTATGTGAGGAAATAGTGCTAGACTTGTTCTGGGTCTTTCACTAACATTTATTGTATCTAATGACAGGTTGCTAGTTGATCAGCAAGTTTGGAAAATAAAACATGTCACCACATTACAAATTGTAATGAAATATATTGGAAAAGATGCACCAGTTGCTCTTAAAAGAAAACTAGAGGTAAATACCTGAATTTTCTCTAGTGAATGAGATTTGAAAAAATATTTCTTGTAACTTGGTGCTTTTTTCTGAAGTCAATTTTTAAGGATATCACTGTGCTTTTGAGTGTCGGCCTGTGAAAGTGTATGAAGACATTTATTTATATACATAAATGCATATCTATATTAGCTATTTTTCCAAGTCACTATCAAATTTCATTCTGTGTAGTTAAAAATGAAAGTTTATTTTTTCACAAATGATAAATATATGTTTTTCTTTAGATGAAAGCCTTGAGGGAGTTAGATAGATTTTCTCATTTGAATAGCCAGCACATGTTTGAGGCACTGTCCACCATGAATCACCGTTCTGTTATACTCCTGAATAAATGCAGCAAGAAGGTCATAGGTAAGAATGTTTCCTTCATGATCTGTGGCATCTGACCTAATGTTTTGGAATATATTTGTTTTGCTCTTAAAACTTTTTTTATAAGAAAATTTGTTGGGCCGGGGACTTGACTCAGTGGTTCTGCCGCCTGCCTCACAAGTGCAAAGTCCCGAGTTCAATCCCAGTACCAAAAAAAAAAAAAAAAATTATTGATATGGTTATATCTAAACTTATTTTTGCCTGTAGGTTTTTTTTTTTTTAAAGTACAGCACTTTTTTCCCCTAAAGAAATAAAAGTATTGAACATTGTGAACCTTAGATTCACAGTCATCTGATAATTTGTTTATTTAACTCATTTTTAAAGATAATATCCATGGATGTCCTCTTAAAGTATTAATGAACATATTGCAATCCTGCAAAGACCTTCGATACTATAATTCAAAGCTCTTCAAGGGAATAGCAGATTATGTGGCTGAGACTTTTGATATCTGGAACTTGCAAAAAGTGAGTATATTATCAATTGAGATTAAGCCTCAGAAATTTTAAGAAACATATTAATTCACTTAGCATTTAAAAAATTTCTATTTTATAGTAGGTAAGATACCAAAGTATTCCAATTCTAAATTGACTTTTGAAAAATTGGCTCCTTGTTATTTTTTTCTGGGAGATTATTTCTGTTCTTGTTAATATACTGCTCAATCTTTTTTTTTTTAATTATGTGTATTGGTACATTTTAGATGTACAATACAGTTACATTAATTGTTGTGATCTTGTACCTTTACATGATGTATCTTGGTTCTTATTTTTTCCGCACTCCCCTTCTCTTCCTTTATCCCCTCCACCCTTCTCCTATTTACAAAGACTTTGTTTCCATGTTTTTTCATTTCTCTTATTTTTGCTTTTCCCTTCTTTCCTTTCCCCTATCCTTCCCTTTCCCCTTACTCCTGTAGACATTTTCTTCGTATTTCCCAGAATCAATTATACATTTTGATCCTTATTTACACATTTAGTTTTTCACACCAGAAAAACTATTTGGTATTTACACGTGTGTGTCCTGTTTATTTTACTAAAGTATGGCCTCAGTGTTTATCCACTTAGCTATAAATGTCTCTAGTGCCTTGTTTTTTATGGCTGAGTAATACTCCATTTTTCACTGCTCAATTTTTTGATCTTACTATCTGAAAAAAAAATCATGTTTTCCAAACTGCTCTTTTTATTGATTTTCAAGACATTGTGTGGTGCTTTGGTTAGCTATTTAATATTATTTATGCTTTTCCTCAGTTAGATTTTTGAATAGTAAAGATGAGTGATGTGACAGAATAAAATATTATTACTAAATGATCTTGTCCGTTGTTTTCTCCAGAATAAAAGCCTTTAAATTCAGGAGTAGTATTTAATAATAAAAACAATTAAAATGAAGCAGCTTATAACCCTTTTTCCAGTGAAGTAGACGATAATTATGGTAGATTGGTAGGATCAATTTACTTTGGAGAGTAAGATGAATATGGGTTTATTATGGAAAAAAAGTAATTATTGTGATAAAAGCCAGGAGGGAAATCAAGAGGTAAACTAGAAAGCTTATTTTAATCGTAATGTTTTAGCTCTGTTCTCACTTTTAGAAATTAATACTAACTAGAGAAATTTTTATTAGTTCGTGTTAGAATGTATCTCATTATTATCTCATGTTAGAAGTGTCTAGGAAGTGACATTGTAGAAAGTGAACTGGGAGCAGCTCAGGATTTAAGATGGGAAAAACATCAGAAAAGATGTATTTTAAAAGTAATTTCCATATCAGTAGTATGAACACCATGTAGAAAAAAGACTTCTTTTTAGATAAACTAGAAGTATGGAAATCATTGTATGACTTGGTACTTGGCTTATAAAAAAGATTGCTTATTAATTTGATAGAGTAGATTTTGTTCCTTTTAGGGAATATTCTGTTATAGGAACAGTTTATATTGCTGTTTAGACTTTTTGATATCTAGCAGTTACTGTTAGCATACTGCCACTGAAAAGATTTTCCTGATTTCCCTCCTTTTAAGGTTCTTTATCTCCTCCTTCTGTTTGAAAAACTTGGCTTTCGACCTGTTGTATTGATGAACTTGTTTATGAAGAAAATTATTGAGGAGCCTAAATTGCTGACCAAGAAAAACATCGTCGCTATTCTTCATGTATATTCTTCTCTTAATCACATCAACCAATGCCAGAACAAAGAGTATGTACTTTTTTAAAAACTTCTTTATTGCCACATAATATATATATAGAAAATATTACAAATCATAAATTTAATGAATTATTACCAGTGAACATATCCATAACCACCTCTCATGTGAAGGAATATAGCAGTATTTCTTACTCATTTATGAAGTTAAACAGTTTTTGCTGTTCTTTGTCTTGTCTTTTGGGTTTTTTTATTCAATATAGGAGTTTTCATTTCAGACTCCCAGCTTATTCCCTCAGATCCTGTGTTCATAGTTCAATTTTTTTTTAACTGTTGAAATGTTGAGAAATATTTTTGAATTTTTTTTACTTTATTTTTTATTGTGGTAAGAACATGAGATCCACTCTCACCAGATTTTAAATGTACGATACAGTATTGTTTGCTATATGCACAGTGATGGACAGCAGATCTCTGGAACTTCACCATCTTTCATAAGTGAAATATTATACCTGGTGAACAGGAACTCCCCTATTTTCCCTCGCTTCTCCCTTCTACCAGCAGTCACCAGTCTAGGAATTTCTAGGAGTTCTACTTTTTTAGCTGCCTCATATAAGTAGTAGTATATAGTATTTGACCTCCTGTGACTAGCATATTTTACTTGTAAGGTCCTCTAGGTTCGTTCATGTTGTATCATATGGCAGGATTTCCTTTTGAGGGGCTCAATGCTGTTCCATAGTATGTATGTTCTACGTTTTATCTGTTTATGGGCATTTAGGTTGTTTGCATATCTTGACTTTTGTGAATAATGTTGTAGTGAACATGGGAGTACAGATATCTTTTTGAGATCCTGATTTTAGTTCTTATGAATACAGAAGTAGGATTGCCAGATCATATGGCAGTTCTACTTTAAAATTTTTTGAGGAATATTCACACTATTTTCTTTGCTGGCTGTGCCATTTTGCATTTCTGCCAACAGTATGCAAGGTATCCAATTTCTCCCCATCCTTGTCAATACTTATCTTTTGTTCTTTTTGGATATTAATCATTGTTAGGTGATATTTCATTATGGTTTTGATTTTTGTTTCTTTGATCACTCATGTTAAACACCTTTTCCTCTGCCTATTGACTGTTTACATGTCTTTTTTGAAGAAATGCTTATTTAGATTGTTTGCCCTTTTTCTAATCATATTTTTCACTTTTTGCTATTGAGTTATAAGAGTTGATTACATATTTTGGGGTAATAACTCCCATCTGATACATAGTTTCCCAATGTTTTCTCCCATTCTGTATGTTGCCTTTTGATTCTTTGCTGTTCAGAAGCTCTTTAGTGTGGCATAGTCCCCTTTGTCTGTTTTTGCTTGTATTTTGGTGTCATATTAAAAAAAATCATTACACAAAACAGTATCATAAAACTTTCCCCATGTTTTCCTTCTAGCAGGTTTAGATGCTCCACTCTAGTGTTCAAATCTTTCATCTGTTTTGAGTTGATTTTTGTGCATGGTATAAGATATGGGCCTAATTTTTTTGTTTTGTACGTAGACATTCAGTTTTCCTAGCACATTTTGTTGACACTGTTCTTTCCCTTTTGGACATTCTTGGCATTCTTGCCTGTTCTTATGCCAGTACCATGCCATTTTAATTACTATAGCTTTATGCTATATTTTGAATCTTCCCAAATTTACTTTGGCAGTTCAGACAATGCTTCCTGTATGAATTTAGGATTGTATTTTTCTATTTCTATAAAAAATGCTATTGGGATTTTGATAGAGATTATACCAAATCTGGGTTATTTTAAGTAGTGTGGACATTCTAACAAAATTGTCTTCTAGTTCACAAATAGGAGATTTCTTTCTATTTATTTGTGTTGTCTTTAATTTCTTTCATCAGTGTTTTATGGTTTTTGGTGTACAGGTCTTTTACTTCTTTGGCTAGGTTTATTTCTAAGTATTTTTTCTTTTTGATGCTATTGTAAATAGTATTCCTAATTTCCTTTTTGGATAGTTTCTTGTTGGTGTATAGGCATAAAGTAAATCTATTCTGGTTTGCATGCTTTTTGTTTATTTTCCTTTGTTTCTTTGTTTGTTTTTGGACTAATTGCTGTGGTTAGGAATTCCAATACTATGTTAAATAGAAGTGGTGAGAGCAGGCATCCCTCCCTTGTTCCTGATTTTCTACAAAAAGATTTCAGTTTTTCACCATTTAGTGTGATGTTGGATATGAGCTGTTTATTTGTTTATTTTTGTGGTACTGGGGATTGAACTCAGGGCTTTCATGCTAAACTCCATCTCCAGCTTTTTGAAATTTTTTATTTTGAGACAAGTCTCTCTAAGTTGCCCAGACTTAAACTTGGACTCATCCTGCTTCAGCCTCTTACAGTGCTGGAATTATAGTTGTTTTCCACCAGGCCTGACTCTGAGGTTTTTTTCTTTTTTTTTAAATTTTAAATTTTTAATTTTTGGGGGGTACTAGAAATTGAATCCAGGGCCTTCACATTGAGCTATTTTTGTAGTCCTTTTTAATTTTTTATCTTGAGGCAGGGTCTTGCTAAATTACCTAGCTTGGTTTCAAACCTGTATTCCTCCTGCCTTAGTCTCCTAAGTAGCTGGGATTACAGGTGTCTGCCATTGTGCCTGGCCATCCATTTCTTCTTGATTGTGCAGTTTGTTGGCATATAATCTTTTCATACTAGCTTGTTACACTTTTCTTATTTTTGCAGTATTGGTTACAATGTCTCTTCTTTTATTTCTGATTTTATTTTCTTTTTCTGTTGATCTATCTAGGATTTATCAACTTTTGTTAATCTCTTTTAAAAATTAAATCTTAGTTTTCATGATATTTTTATTTCATTAATTTCTCTAATCTTTATTATTTTCTTCCTTTTGTCAGCTTTGAGCTCTGTTTATTTTTCTTTTTTCTAGGTATAAATTTAGGTTGTTTATTTGAGATCTTTTTTAGGTAGGCATTTATTGCTATAAACTTCCTTTCTAGAGAATTTTTGGTGGTGTTATGTTTTTGTTGAGATATTTTCTAATTTCCTTTTTCTTTGACTATTTGCTTTTGAGTCTATTTTGTAATTTTCACATTTGTGAATTTTCCAGTTTTCCTCCTACTGTTGAGTTCTAGTTTTATTTCATTATTTTCTTAAGTTTGCTAAGACATTTTTGTGACCTAACACCTATTTTTCCTCAAGAATGTTCTATTAGGTGCTGTAGAGCAGAATAGTCTATGTATTTCTGTGATGTTCATTTATAGATTCAAACAAGTTCTCTGTTTCTTCATTGGTTTTTCTTCACTGGATGTTTATCCATTATTGAAAGTAGGGTATTGAAGTTTCCCATCATTATTATTTTGCTGTCTAATTCTCCTATCTGATCTGACAGCTTTTGCTTTATAGTGTAGGTAGTCTGATGTTTAGTCAATATACAATATATGTATAATTTGTTTACCTTCCTGATGATTTGATTGTTTTATCATTATATAATGACCTGTGACAGTTTGTCACAAAAATCTATTTTGTCTGATTTAGCCTGGCCACCTCTGCTCTTATTTGTTACCATTTGTATGGAATGTCACCCCATTTCTTTATTTCCAAAAATCCATGAGTCCTTAAATCCAAAATGAATCTTGTATATACCACATATAGTTGGGTCTTATTTTTTAATGTATTCAGCTACTTTGAGGAATTTAATACATTTACATTTAAACTAACTGTTGATAAAGGACATAATATAGTATTGCCATTTTGTTATTTTCTGTTTTATACTTCATTTTCTATTTTTCTCTCTCTTGCTGTCTTCCTTTATAATTTGATATTTGCTACTATATCTTTCTCTTCTTTTGTTTCCTTTATTTGCTGAACATAAAAAAATCATTGTTTAGTATGCCTAGACAGGCATATTTCATTTTATTGGTAATAAAAATGTATTGCATTATCTATTAGATATTGTATATCTATTAACATTTATTATAAGTATAGTATTCTTAATACTTTTATAATTCTTTTAACTTTTATAATAGAATTAAAGTGGTTTACATCCATTTTCATTTTCCTTCTTCCCTCCCTCCATTTCTTGATTCCCTTTCCATTTGAGAAAGATCTATCTCCATGCTGCCTATTATCTTTTATTTTGGTCTTTATTTATACTTTGGCTTCTTATATAAGAGAAACAATATGCTATTAAAGCTTATGTTCCTGATGTATTTCGCTTAACATTATGGTCTCAAGGTACATCCATTTTCCTACAGATAACTCAAGATTATCCTTCTTTTTGGCAGAGAACTCCATGGTGTACTACATTCCTTTTTTTATTCATTCATGTGTTGATGGACATATAGGCTGCTTCCAAGATTTAGCTCTTATGAATTGTGCTGCCATAAACATGTTATGTACATGTACCAACTCCACACAAGGAATGTAAATGTTATGTACTACGAACATGTACTAATAAAAATATCCCAAAAGTATAGAAATGATTCATATCAAAAGAGTGGTTTACCTCCCACCGTTACAGTATTATTATTTCGTGGAATTGTCTGTTTCCTTTAGTGGTGAGTTTTCTGCTTCCACATACCATTGTATTGCTGCTGCTTTGTGTCTTTGCATTTCAACTCAGAAAACTCACTGTAGCACTTCTTGGAAGGGAAGACTAGTGGTGATGACTTCCTTCAACTTTCATTTATCTTTCCTTCATTTCTGAGGACTCTTATCTCAGGGATGGTATGTGCCTGTTGGCAGTTTTTCTTTCAGCATGTTGAGTGAATACTGTGTCCTCCTTTTTAGCCTGTGGGACACTATTATGGGTGAGCGATGAGTTGCTTTTTTCTTCTTTCAGAATTCTCTTTTGAAGCCGGGTGTGGTGGCGCATGCCTGTAATCCCAGCACTCGGGAGGCTAAGGCAAGAGGATCATTTTGAGTTTGAGACCACCCTGGGCTACATAATGAGTTCCAGGTCAGTCTCAACTACATAGTGAGACCCTGTTTCAAAAAACCCAAAAGAAAAAAAAAAGAATTCTCTTTTGTGTTTGACTTTTAACAATTTGGTTACAGTGTGTTGATATATATTTATTTTGGTTCATCTTATTTGGGAACATTTTGGCTTTATGAGTGTGAAAGTCTATTACCCTTCCAAAATTTGCAAGATTTTTGGCCATATTCCTTTATTTATTTATTTATTTATTTAGGTAGTGGGTATCAAACTCAGGTCCTTCACGTTTGCTAGGCAGGCAGCAAAACTACTGAGCTAAATCCCCGGCCCCAGCCATATTCCTTTAAATCGGCTTCCTGCTCCTTAACTTCCTTTATTCTCCTCCTGAAGCTCTCATTATATCTGTTGGTTTGTTTGATCATGTCTCTAAAGTCCTTTGGGCTTTAACACTTTTCCTTCTTTTTTTTCTTTTCCTCTTCTGAATACAGTTTGCTGATTCTTCTCCTTAATTATGTCTGTCATCATAGCCCTCTAGCGAATTTTCAGTTTAGTTATTCTTTCGATGCAGAATTTCTATTTAGCTCTTTTTTGTAGTTTCTTATCTCTTTCTTGATGTTATGATTTTGTTCCATTATTATTTTCCTGATTTTGTCTGTTCTTGTTCAACTCAGTAAATGTCACTGAAACTATTATAGTATTTTGTGAGTCATTTAATAAATTTTCACTTCTTTGTGCTTGATTACTGGAGATTTATTTTGTTCCTTTGATTGTATCATGCTGTCGCCCTGTCTTTACAGATGAGCTGAAACAAGGTGAGATCTTCACCAGTTAGCCCAGCTAGTGAGTTGTAGGAGCTTCTCAAACCTTTTCTGTAGATATGCCTTCTATTAAAGTGTGGATATGGAGTCTTCACTTGATCTTAGCCAAAAGGCCAAGAAGCGATGCATATGGAGTCTTAATTGTAGGAATTTACCGGTTTTAATTTTTCAGGCGCTCACCATCTCTTGCTCCCTCTGGTGTCTGACTGCTGCACTGCAGGAAGAAACATTGGCATCCACCGCACTCCTGTGAAGGAAGGAGCCCTGAGTTCAGCCCTTCTTCCAGGCCTCCAGAGCTGTGCTGGTTGCCGCTAGTCACCAGTCCCTTTTCCTTTCCTTTTATTTTCTTCTAAGCATCTGAATTATGCTAGTTGTGCTGGCATGGAGCTGTGAGGCTACGTAGAACCAAACCCCTCAGACAGCACCCTGAAAGGCTCTGATGTTGAAGGCAGACTCCACTTCTTCACCTGCTCCTGGACTGAAACTGCAAGCTCTTCATCTTCTCTTAGTTTTACATGAAGTCATGTAAAACTGTTCCTTTGTTCTTAACTGCTCTCAGGCATCCAGACTGTGCTGATTCTGTCAGTACTTCACGTGAGGTGAGATGTGAGCCTCGATCAGGTCAAGGAAGGCTGGAATGTTGGGTGACAACTCCACCCTTTCCTCCCAGGGAAGTTGCTGGCCAAGATGATCTCTCTTGGTGCTCAGCTGTGCCACCTTGAGGCGAGGCCAATGTATGACACTAAAATTGCTCTTGTTTGTTTCTACACAGCTGGTCTTTTTTGCTTGTCTTGAGTACTGCAATGCAGTCTCGACTGGATTCTGGACTCCTTAGAAAGGCTTTTGGTCTATATATTTTTGTGAAATCAGTGTTTATGTGGCACAGTGAGAGCTAGATCTTCCTTTTCTGCTACCTTGCTGACATCACTTCCCTAAAGTTCAGTTGTGACCCTAATTTATTTGATTCCACATTAGTGCTTTCTGTTTTTATTTTAATACCTACCACGCAGCAGCTCCTTAGATTGCCAGTTTGATTCATATCTTTGCTTTCCACCCACAACATCTTTTCTTGCTCTCTGGATCAATTAGGGTTCATTAGATACCAAAAATACATATAAAATGTCATTTTTTCGGAGACTGATTAAAATCACAGTATGGAGACAGCTTTCTTAGATTTGAATCCTAGCTCTGAAAGTCAATGGCTACTTGACTTTTGGCAAGTTATTTACCTGTGCCTTAGCTTATTACTAAATTGGAAGTGAATTATTTCTAGTTGACATTGGGTAATTTTGAGGATTAAGTGAGTTAATCTATGCTAGACTCTTAAAATAATGCTTAAATAAAGTAATTGTTAGATTTTTAAAATGTTAGCATGTAGGACACAGAGGTCTCAGGAACAAGCTAAAGTAGTTCTGAAGGTTTTAGTGGCAGGATTCACAGGCCATTTCCTTAAGTCAAATAACATGACTCCCAACTGTATGCAGTCCTGTATGTTTTGCTCTAGATTCAAAATTTGAAAAAGTCTAATTGAGTTCAGTTGAAATGTCCACCCACTGGGGCAGTTAATAAACACAGTGGTACTGGGCCACGTACAGAGTGGCTGCCCATTGTGCTTTCCATTTCTTGTGCCTTCTCCGATTGTCTTGCTCAGAGCCCCTGTACTTGTTACGTCTCACACAAGGACCTAGTGGTGCCTTGACCACACAGTGATAGGTGTTTGTCAATGAGTCTCTCTCTCTGCTCCTCAGTTGGCAAAGTGTCTAGAGTCAAACTCAAGTTCCTGTTACCTTGAACATAGCACAGGGGCTGGCAAAGAACACACAGTTAATAAAGGTTGAAAATTGTCCCCAAGTTCTTGCTTTCTCTGCTGCCCTGTCTTGGTTTTCTTGTGATGCTGGTTCCCCTAGACTGCTGCACTTTTCAGAGAAATACTTTTCAAGCTGAATGGTAATCACACCTCTAGAAAGAGCCTTATAGTCTGTGGGATTAGGAGAACAGCCTTGGGAAGGAGATAATTTTTCAGCTGATTCTACATGGTCCAAGAGCTATTTTAGTCCAATAAAATTGTTATGTTGGGAATGGCAGAGGGGTAGCAAAGGTTGTGAAGTTTAATTAAAGACCAGTAGGAGAATTAGTGTGGGGGGTGGGGGTTACTTTTGTCTTATCTGTCTGCTCTGCCTACGTCTAACCTAGTACTTCTTAACCATGTGTGCCTAAGAATCTAAGGAGACATTTAATAGTATCTAGAGACCTTTTTGCTGTCACAACAGGAAGAGTGTTTGTGCTACTTGTATCTGGTAAGTGGGAGCCAGCAATACTGCAAACATTTTATTGTATGCAGGATAGATCATCACAAGGAATTATGCAGCCCAAATGTCAGTAGTACTGCAATTAAGAAACCCCAAAGTAACCCTCACTATCCTAGGGGACAATAGGAACAGTGAGGCTGTGGTTGCTAGATCAAGGCCGAGCAGTCATTCCTGAATACCCATAAATGTGTAGTTGCCTGCATTTGCTACCCTGGAAAAGGACCCCCCTTCAAGAGAAGCTTGTGTTCCCTTCCTTTGTAATCCAGTTAAGAGGACATCTGAGTGAACATCTGGTTCATCTAGTGGAAGGTGGTAAGTTGGTGCCAAATACATGAGGGAAGGAGGAAAGGCAATGGTGTCTTGGGCAGGAGTGATAAAAGTTTTGGCTGCAGAATAACTCCAGACATTTGGGAAGAGAGACATGCCTAAGAGACATGAGCTGGCTCGATCAGTAGGAAGTTTGCCATAGCACATTGTATATGAGTAAGCTGTAGGTTAATGGTTTTATTAATTTGATGCTGTGGGGGAGAGGACATATTAAATTCAGGGTGCTTGCTTATTGTAAGAATCCCTGCTCTGTTCTTTCATCTCTCTAGTTATTCACTATTGCTGGGATCTTGGGCACTTTCAAAGCTCCATTCAGACGAGCTTCCTTTTTTCCTAGTCTTCCTGTTCAAATTCTGTCTCTAAAGGCTGCTCTGTCTGCTTTCCTTTCTGTGCCTTATCATTGTACTTTTTATGTGTTCACTTTCGTCTTCTGTAATGATACAGATAATGTGCCCCGTGAGTCAGACTGACCACTCTGGGCGTGTGACCTGGCCACACTTTGGTCTTTCCTCTCTATCTGTTCTCAACTGTTTGGTTACACTGTGTAACGTTAGCTCTGGATGCTAGCACTGGTTTGTAGTTTTTTGAAAGACAGAGTTTTGGTAGCTAAGGAGTTCTGATTGGTTATAAAACTGTGGTAATGGTACAGGGCTTCTAGAAAGTCTAGCATACTAATTAAGAGCTCTAAAACTTGACAATTTAGGTTCTAATACTGTCTATGCTGCTTCCTGGCAGTGTTCATGGATTAGTTACTGGTTACTTGTCTTTATTATAAAAATAATAATAATTACTGATAATTTTTATTTTTTTTTTTTCTCATTGAGGTTATTGGTACACTTTAGGTATACAGTACAGTTACATTCATCATTGGGATCTTGTACCTTTACATGACTTGTCTTGGCTCTCATTTTTTCCCCATACCCCTGTCCTCCTTTCACCCCCTCCTCCCTTCCCTATTTACAAATACTTTATTTTCCATTTTTTCATTTTTGCATATTTTTTCTTTTCTCTTATTTCCTTTCCCCTACCCTTCCCACTTTGCTTGATAACTTTTAGTTGGAATTAAATGAGTGAAAGCTTATAAAATACCATGTGTGCAAGGCACATAGCAATAGCCAGTCATTTATTGGATATATGTACTTATCCTGAACTGCGTGTGGGAACTGACTTAAAAGCCTGCTTTCCTTAATTGTTTTCTTTGGACCCTTAAAGGCATTTGTTGGTAGCACCTAACCACTTTTTCCATGACTCTGTTTTGTGTTCATATTTGAAATCTTGACTTTCTCTTTGTTCCTCCAAAAGGTTCCTAGAAGTTATGGCGAGTGCCCTGACTGATTGTCTTCATCACATCTCATCTGAAAGCTTGTTGCATGCTGTGTGTTCATTTTGCGTAATGAATTATTTCCCCTCGGCTCCTATTGATCAGCTTCTCCGAAAGGATGTCCTCAGTGAGCTGCTGACATCAGGTAGAGTGTCACCGCACCTAATGACTGATAAAGCAGTGCCATGAGCTATGTTATGATTCTGAATGAGAGCTTGGCCAGAACAGAGGTAGTTGAAATGTACAGGACTGAAGTTACTGAGGAAAGGATCAGTCCTTCCTAATGGTGAAGTTACTGGTAAGTGCTTCAAAGAAGAACATCTACGGAACCTCCTTTAGTGATAGGTGCTGCATACACAAGACAGTGAAGACTGCACCACTGTCAGCTTCCCACTGCTGCGGCAGAAATGCAGTACCTGAGAAAATTAACTTGCAAGGAGGAAAGATTGATTTGGCTCAGGATTTGTGAGGTTTCCATCCCTGGTCACTTGGCCCCATCACCTTTGTGCTGTGGCAGCACAGTACCTCCTAGTGAAAATATGTGGCAAAGGATGCTGCTCACTCCTTGCATCCAGGAAATATAAACACAGAGCCAAGAACGGGTTGGAATCCCAGCCAGCCTCCCCTTCAAGTGCACGCAGTGGCCTAGCTTCCTTCCAGTAGGCCCTGCCACCTCGTAGCACACCACAGGGTGGCAGCTAGGCCTTCGGCATTTGGGTCTTTGGGGATCATTTAAGATCCAACCCATAGCAGTAACCATTGTGTGCACCTGTACAAATACTAAATGTGAAGCTTGTTCATTATGCCTTATTCAGAGGTGCTTGCATTTTCTAGTCTTTACGTATCACATTGGAAGCCAGTTTAAGCTGTAAACATTTAGTGACCCATGACCTTTAATGAGGGCACACCCTGATAGGTCAAGTAACTAAATAGGTAACAAATTAGTGAATTTATTTACTTTTAGACCAGAATTATTGACTTTTAAGTTTTAAAAAAATCTGAGAATATAGTACTTAAAATTCTTTTAAAAAGAATGCTACGCAGTACCAAATTTCACTTGTGAAGGGTCATTATATATGCTGATTTTTCAAAAACTACAGTGTTAGAGAACCAGCCTTAAACCCAGGAGACCTGGGTTCTAGTCTCTGCTTTGCCATTATGAATCATTATTAACGTTATTGGGCATTTCTTCTGTAAAATGAGGAGTTTACACTAAATCACCTCCACAGATATTTTAAGCCTTAAACGTTGGCAAGTGCAGGGCATCACTCCAGATACTAGAAACTAGGGTGATGTCATGAGAGTCCTCATGACAAGAAAGGGACGATTAGAAATGCAGATATATGAAAATGGTTTTTTTAAAAATATGCCATTAATATTTTTCTTAATAATGTATATTCTTTTCTATTTCAGATGACAGGGAGAAGAATGTTCACAAGCTTCATATTTTGGAAGCTTGTCTAAAACTCGATCTTACTTCCTATCACAAGGGCATAGACATAGCACTGCCACAGCTGCCACTGTCAGCATCAGACAATACAAAAGCTACGGAAGTATTGAGCAGGCTTCTGGGTAACAGCAAAGGACTCTTCTCAAAAGATGTGCAGTTGCCACATAATTATCATATTGGTATGGGGCTTGCTTAATTTTGTTTTCTTTTGTGTAGGACAGAAGATTAGTAGTTCACTGCAGCAGTTTAGTGAAGTGTGGCATCGCCCTTCGACCTGGACTACCTGGGTTTGGATTCTTGCTTTGTGACTTACTACTTACTAGGACTGTGGCTTCAGATCTCCCAACCTCGGTTTCCTCATCTATAAATGACACTAATAATAACACCCACCTCAACAGATTCATGTGAACAGTAAAGGCAAATATAAAATCCCAAGACTAGTATCTGGCACATGGGAAGCTTTCAGTAAGTTTAGATACTACCATTAGTCTAGCTACTAAGTGGAGGATTAGCTGCTACCATTACCCAAGGTGGTATTAGACATTTGGACACAGCAAGTCACTTTGAGCAGTGTTTGAAAAATTAATAGCAGTTTTTTCTTGCAGATTTTGAAATCAGAATGGACGCTAACAGGAGACGAGTACTGTCATTTTCTGATGTAGATGTACCTTCTGCTACGAATATACGAAGGTAGCTGTTTATACTCACTTTCTGGGTTATATAAATTTAAGTCTTATTTTGGAAAGACTTCATGTTTATTGGTGCTTGTAATGCACCAAAGGAATTTACTTCTGTGAATTTACTGCTTAGGAGCCCTGTATGCATGATGGTTGAATTCTGGGCTGGAGTTGGGTCCCTTACTGAAATATACATTTTTTTAAAACTTGGATTTTGAAGCTAAACAATTCAATAAAACAGTGTTAACATAGTTGAAACTCTCAAGGGAGTATACACTTCTGACAATATAATTGGAGAATTAAGACTGAAAATTCTCCAAAAATCAAATACCCAATAAATTTTTTGCTCCATCTCCAAAACTCATGAAAAAGTGGAGGAACCAGCTTTTTAATTAAGCTGTATTATATATGAGTTAGAATACTAATCATAAGTTGTTTCCTTGATCACACATTATATGCTTGTACTGCTGGGTAAAAATGAGGACTTCTGGGAGCCTTTGGGAGAAATACCACTCCATATGGTGGGAAAGTGTCCTGCCTGCTCAGCGTGTGCACAAGATCATTCAGCCTTGGTGGAAAGGCTCTGCTAGGGCCTGTGGGGCACACAGAGATGAGTCAGAAGTGGGCCCTGGCCCCAAGGAACTTATATCTCTGATCATTCCGTTAGATATTCACATAAATACCATGCAGTTCCATGACTTTTATCCTTGCTAAGTCCACCTGGCTTATTCCTTGGCCATCTTTTTCAAGTGCTGTCTTCTTTATCCATATTCCCTATCTGCCCTTAGAGACTTTCTGTCCCTGTACAAGTATCATTTTTCTCTTTTAAGGTACTCCACTCTTCTGACATAGTAAAACTTTATAAAAAATAATAGAAGAGCATAACTTTGATCCTCCAAAGAGCAGGAATGTAGCTAGATTGCAAATGGCAGTCTTAATAATGTCTCATATTGTTTATTTTTGTTTTCAGAGTAGCTGTGCTATGTGTTCCTAGATCTAGTTTTTGTTTTAATTCAAGACATCCCAGAGGATTCCTTGCTATGAAAATGCGGCATTTGAATATAATGGGTTTTCATGTAGTCTGGGTAAGAAAAAAATGCAAATGAAAGTTTTAATGACCGATGTACATTCTAGCAGCTACCAGAAACGATGTGGTTGAAGTTGGTAGCTAGGCTCTAAAAGAATAGTTAGTATTATTGGAATAAGTATTTTAGTTATTGCCTTCTTTGAAAAATAACATTTCTAGCACATGATTTGGTTTTTATTCAGCCGAGTGCTATTATTTACTAGGGAGATTTGTAAATGTTATTCTAGTCAGCTTTAATCCAGTTTTGATAAGAAGAATGCAAATTTTGTCTTACTTAATTCAAGGCATATGGAACCATTTTCACTTTTCATATTATTTTGAACAAGGGATAAAAGATGTTGAAGCTTGTTTTCATGGGTAGTGTGAGGCTCTTGTAGGATGCTAGTCACCTAGAAGCCAGGACAGTAGGGCTGATCCTTTTCCCTTTTATGCTTGTTGGATCCCAGCACCACACCTGTTCTTGAATATCCTCTTTAGATGTCTTTGTAGCAAGAACTCACGAATATATGTGTGATAATGTTGGAGTCTGCCCTAGCACTACTTGGTCCTGCGTGTACTGTGAAGTATAAACATTCTCATCTTCCATTGTTGTGCTTTATTACCCAGAAGGGAATTATGCATGGATGACCAAGATGAAAATAGCCCCTTTCCCTTACTGCATACTATTTGAGATTTTATTTTTCATACTAGGAAAAATATATATTCTAGGGAAGATTTTCCTAAAAAAGAAACTTTTGCATCACTTAGAGGGCCTTTAAGGTTTTTATAAGTCTCACAGTTACAGCTTTCTTCCATCCTATCAAATAGTCTCATTGGATTTTTAAAATATCAGTAAGTATAAGGTAATATTTGCTTTTAGAAAGCAGTTCACTTCATGCTACTTTGTATGCTTGGATCTTGAAACTAGCTTTTATTTCATGTGTATATCTTCTCACAAACTGTTTTCCTCTTTCTCTTGTAAGGTCAGAAACTGGGAGGTGGAAGAACAAATGATGAAGGATGCAGTCAGAATTTTGAAGACTAAAATCTATTCAGTTGAAGTCCTTCCTACTATTGGTGTAAAATTGCAAAACCCATCTTAAAGTAAAAATCAACCTTTTCATACTTTTGTAAAAATACCTTTAATAAAGACTGTAATTCAATTATCAATGGAATTAACCTGGCTGCTTACTGTATCAAAAAATGTTGTTCCAGTTCACTGTTAATTTTAGGATTGGAAGAAACATTTTTACTCGCATTTTAGAATATGCTGACAAAATTTCAAGAAGCGTCATTTTTCTGACCACATATCTGTTCTTCTACTGCCCAGATATTTGACAAATTATTGTCCATAGGTTTCACTTTGGCTTATTAGCCTTGATGTATTCAAAGCTATTTTGTTTCATTTTGGCTTTTTAGTTGAACTGTGATAGGTCACAGACAAGTTGATATGGACAGTCCTCTTAGTAATCTGCATATTTATCTTTCTGCTATAAGCTGTTTTAAGATAGGCTGTTTTAAAACTTAGGATTATGCATCCAAGTCATTTTAAACAATGGCCATGTAGCACTTGGGTCCTGTTCTCTACCTATAGAGTGCGCAAGAAGCAGTGAGGTGGCTTTTTTTTTTTTTTTTCCTTTTCTTCTTTTTAGTACCGGGGATTGAACTCAGGACCTTGTGCTTGCAAGGCAGGTGCAGTGCCGCTGCGCTAAATCCCTGGCCCTGAGATGATTTTTTAAAGAATGGATGAAGCATTTATATTTGTAACAAGCAGAGTAGGTGGAGGTGTTTCCTGGCCATAATAAGAGAAAAAAATGAGATAATGGGTGGTGAGGAGTCTGTATTTATGTAAACTGATGAGCTACGACTTTTTAATTCTATAATTCTTGCCATTTTGAGTTTATTCCTACACTTCCCACCACTTCATGTTATCTTCACAATTAAATAATTGCACTTTGTTATAAATTAGACGACAACTTTTTTCAATTTTGTTTGTTCATTCTTTTGTTTATTTGTTCAAATTCAGTTATTTCATTCACTGTACCCACCCACCCAATGTTTGACTCTTTGGGAAACAAGTGCTGAATAGGCCTGGTTACTTGTGGAACTTACATGGGTTCCATGCAAGTTGGTATTATTTTAACCTAGGTACCCAAGACACAGAGTTACTGGACAGCTTAGTGTTAATGTGCCAGGGACTTCTGAGTGTTCAGATGTTTTCTCGCTCTTCCTTATCTTACAAACTTTGAAGCACAGCTTCTCTTAGGGTGGTCTCTGGGCCTTCACTCCCTCATATCTATGATAAGATAAGTTATTTGCTAAACCTGCTCAGCCTCTTGCCGGGACCTATACAGCTGGGCTTTGAATGTGAGCTGCTGTGGGCTCATGAGGAAAGTAGTTGAGGATTCCCAAGGTTGGCCGCAAAAATGCAGCAATTTGACCAAAACTGTTTGCTTTTATCAACTTACCCAGCCTGCATAGAAAATGTTAGTGGTGAAAGGAAATTTAGTGAATATTCAGTGCACCTCCCTCATGTTATGGACGAGAAAGTTAAGGATCCAAGCATTTATTTTCCCTGAGGTCTAGGTCATTACCATTGATTTATATCTGTGTCCAAAGAGATTAGGATTCTAGTTCCAGATTGAACATCATCTGGGTTTGTGTGCTTATCGATGATTTAACCTTTATAAGCTTCAGAGTGAGTAAAAATATTCTATTATTTATGCAACTAAGATTCTTTAAATGTTCAGTATAGATCAGTTTTTTCGTTTAGCTAATTATGACTCATGGTCAGAAGATGGGACAAATTTATGGATATGTATTACTACCGTTTGGAGTAGTAATTTTCTTGAACTGACTGACATGGCAGATAAGGTGTTCTTGCACTAGCATTACTAATGCTAGCATTCTTCATTGCTTTGTGGCAGAGAAAAAATGGGCAAACAGCTGATCAACATGAGAAAGTTTCAGTCTACTGGTGAAGACATGCATATTCGCACAACATATTTTTGCCTTGTATATTAGCATTGTTTTATTTTCCTTCAAGAATCGCAGTGCTAACAAAGGTATAATTGAGGCAAGTACTTCCATGGACTGCTGGTAGAATATACAAACTTTCTGGAATGTACTTTTTCTCCCGTATTTTAAAAAATAGTTTTATTGAAGTATAATTGACATACAAGGAATGGCGTGTAGATTATTTAATATGCAATTTGGCACATTTTGACATAGAAGTACATACATACCTCAGAAACCATCACCACAATCAAGACAGTGAACAGATCCATCCCCTCTAAAAGGTTCTTCTGTTTCCCTCTGACTGAAACTAGATCAGTGGTACACAGAGGGAATGATGTGTTTCCATAGCACTAGCTGTAGATTGGAGTCTTCAGGGCCTGGTAGAAAACAGTATTTTCCTTATATGACATAATAGGAAATCAATAAAACCTAGTGTTAAGAAATACTGTATATTAAATACTGTCTGTGTGTGAAATTTTCAAGTATTACTTTTTAGAATCCTTAATGAATGGCTTGATCTTGCTTTCTAGACATGATAATTAAATACCATGCTGTGTACTTGAAATGGCTATGAATAATTCTTGATCAAGATGCTTTAAGAAGTTCTTTAGATAGATTCTTTAGTTACCATTGACAGGAAACTTTGTTTACAGTTGAAAATTTTGTTTACAGCCTAACAAATCTTTTTCAGTCATTGACAGAATGTGGTTTGTGTTTTTGTTTTTAATGTGATGATAATAATGGATCTCAAATGCAATTGAAGTTTTTCATTCCACATATTTCCAAAGAGTGATGACAATCTGGTAGAATAAAATTATGAGGAGCTGGCATTCCTCAAACCCCTACTCGTTTTACTGGTCTCACCGGACAGCTAGAGGCTCCTTCGTCCATGTGGCCAGGCTGCACAGGTAGATGTCCAGGTGGCTGGACACATGCTTGACTTCACAGAGCGAGGGCCAGTGTCTGTCATGCTCAGTATCCATGGCGCCTGAGAGACACGTCAGCAGAGCCCTCGAGTGAGCAGGTTACTGGCCAAGGTGGCTTCGGCTATGCAGCCCTTTGTGGTCATCCAGTGGGCTTGAGGAATCAGGAATCTCTTGATGTACTTGTGATCCATTTGTGTACATGTGTATGCTCTGGCTCAATGGTAGGCCTAAAAAAAGCTGAAGTCCTGCATTTTCCTGGCCCTTCCAGCTTGAATACCAAATGAGACTACATCTCCATGCAGATGTGCCTGTGTGAAATTAGGTAGGTCAAATGAGATGATGATCCTGCTTCTGTTGTTTCTACCAACAGTCATGGAGCATTTGACCTGTCTGGAATCAATAGCAAGTCCCTGGGGTAGTGTGACAGGGTATGGGGCATCCGTTTGGCTTGATTGTGGCAAAAATGTGATTGGAACCAGCACCTTCATGACATTCCCAGTTCTGGACTGTAAAACAGGGAGCAACTTTTTCAGACAGCCCAGTTCTGTGATGGTGTTCTTAGAGTCATCGCTAGGTGTCAGACTAAGGGCTATTTCTTTACCCCAATCCAGTCGGCGTGTTAGCAGAAGAAGCTTCTGTGAATCCCAGAAGTTAGCCTTCACACACTGTATGTCTAAACTAGAGTGGCTTCAATTATTATAATTGAGAGCTGGTTGATAGATACTACAGGTATAGGCTTACATATATTGTGAATTTTAAAAGTAGGATGCATTTCTATAAAATTTTGTGATTTTCCCCCACTTAAGGATCAGAGACACATGTTACTAAAAGCCACTATGAATGCCTTGTACATGGCTCACTGATTTACAACTTTACCAGGCTTCTCCAGGCTGTAGTAAAGCTTTTCTAGCAGGTGAGGAGAGAAAGCAAACTTTTGCTTCTTGCTACTGTCTTTGCACTCAGTTTTCACCTTACTTCCCTAGTTTCCTTAGGCAATCTTGTTATGCTAGGATCCACAACATCCTGAAGAAGGAAAGGGGGAGAGCATCAACCTTTTACCCATTGGATTTAGGAACTCCATTCTTTTTGCTACCAAAAAAAAAAAAAAAATGCAAAATAGGAGAAAGGTAGGGAATATGCTAAACATATATGTCATATTTTTTCATAATTTTTAAGTTAACTAAACAACCAATATTTAGAAACCTTTGAAGTGCTTGCATATCATCAGAAAATATTCCTCTATTTTATTAAATGGCAGTCTTAATACTTGACTCTTAAAGAAAATTAATTAAAGGGGTAAAGCTCTCTTCACCAGTTTGAGGTTCAAATAAAATTCCATGTGCTGTGGTTCCAGGCTCTTGTTGAAATGGGGGAGTGTGGGGTCCAATTCACAGGCCAAACAGGGCTTTGCGTGGGCCACTGTGTCTAGAGAGGAAGATGAATCTCCTTCCTTGATTTCCAAAAGGCACTACGTGCCCGGAAGCCATTTACAAAGCATCTCCCTGGGCCAGGATATTGAGGCAGAGCAGGTTGTTCAGTCACCACCACCTCTTTTGCCCAGTATTTCTTAAGTCATCTTGGATAAACATGTAGCTCGGGGAAAAAAAACCAAGCCAAGCCAAAACAAAACAAAACAAAAAAACAGGCAACCAAAGCAATGCTGGTCATTTACATGTGAATTTACTTGCACATTAAAAAAAAAAAAAAAAGAACTATAGGCACTTGTAAGTCACAATATCTCACTATGAGAGTTCCAGCAACACAAACCAGAGAAAATCTCAAGTTCACTTTTAGTGTGAGTTTGATGCCATTGGGTTTTTTTTTTTTAGTTGTAGCCAGGCATGATGGCACATGCCTCTAATTCTAGTTATTAGCATCCTAAGTGGGAGTCCAGCTTGGGCAGTTTAAGGAGATCCAGTGCCAAAATAAATAGTTAAAACTGTGGGAATACAGCTCAGTGGCAGTGAACTTGCCTAACATATGCAGACTCCTGGGTTCAGTCCCCAGTACTGCCAAAAATAATTAAATCATGGTAAAATGCACATAACAAAATTTACCATCTTAACCATTTTAAGTGTACAGTTCAGTGGCATTAAGCACATTTGCATTTGTTGTATAACAAACACCACTATCATCTCCAGAATCTTTTAAACTTACAAAATGAAAACTTGGTGCCTGTTAATCATGAAGTCCTCATATCCCTCCCTCCCTCCCTTCCCAGGGCCT